CCTGTTTGGCACTGTGTAGCAGTCATGTGGCTCAGGATGGCTTGGGCTGCATGTTCAACATTGACCAATGTCTGAACAGCCAATTGCACAGGCATCATCCAGCCCACTCCTCCACCATCCAACACTTCCAGTATGGTCAGCCCAGCATTCTGAGCCCTCTCCTCTACCAGCTACCTAATATCTCACTGAAAGGGGAACTAGTTCCTAAGTAATGGCTCCCTTATGACAGTCGCCACTCCCTCAGGGAGAGAGCTCTAGTATGAGATGACCATGTTCCAAACTTTGGTCATGTCAGATAAAAGACAGACAATTCTTGGAAGAAGATCCAATGACACATCCACTCCACAAACAGGAACTACATGTAGTAACTGAGGCCACATACATAATGCCAGCATAAAGGTATCACTGCAGGGTCTGAAGGTGGAAAGTCGCTATCTGGATGCAGAGACAAACCAATGCCTAACCTCCCTTCCCCAAATAGGAGGCTCAGTCCTTCAGCAGTGACCTAATATTGCTTCTTATCCCAGAAAAACTCAATAAGTTTCCTCTACGTTTGTGACAAACTCTGGAGGTGGGAGCAAAGTGACCAGCCAATACCACAACATGGTAGCAATCAGCTCATTTATGACCAACTCTCAACCCTTGTAAGAAAAAACTCAGAGCAGTCCGTTCCAATGGCCGAAGTAAGTTGCCATCTTGGCTTCCAATTCATGCCAATTCGCCGCCAAGGGTTCACAGAAACTAGTAGCAGTCCATTTGAGCCTGCTCCACCATTCACATGGCCATAGCAGATCCTTTATCACAATGCCATATTCCCACTTTCTCCCCATATCCATCTGTATCTATCTTAAAATCCAAATCACTACATATATTATACATTTTTCAATATAAAGAAACTGAAGAGCATTGAACTACAGAAATTGCCATTGGCAGAGTGAAGGAAGGAGAATACACAAGGTGCCAGAGACAAAAGAATGACGAGAATAAGGATTAGCTGTAAAGCTAGAGGATGTCAAAGAGAAAGTAAAATTTGAAGACAAAAGGGATTTAAACACGAGAATTAGAATATTGGTACCCAGGGTCAATGTAGGTCAGTGAGATAAAGGTCAGTGAGATTAAGGGCAGTGAACGAGTAGGAATTAATGTGAAAGAGAATACAAGCAGCAGTATTTTGGATGAGTTGGCATCATGTATTGTGCTGGATGGAACACTGATCAGGATAAACCATTAGAGTGGTCAGGCCCACAGTAAAAAAGGAATAGATGAAAGTTTTAGGGGCATATCAGCCAAGGTAACGCAAATGTGGGTGATGCTGCAAAGTTGAAAGTAGCCAGTGGCTTCATTGGAGAGTCTGTTGATTGTAGTATGGTTCAGCTTGAAACAATGACCAAAAAGAGAGATAGCATTGTTGGCCAGAGGATGGAGTTTATGGTGGTGGTTAGAGGTCATGGTTTCAGTGTTTCCAAACTATAAACTTGAGAAAACCATCCTTCACCCAAAAATGTTTGGCAAACATGCAATCTGCAATATATGATAGTTGAGGCATTGTCAGACATTGTGGAGAGACAGCATTCATTGTCACATGAAAACTGACTCCATTGCTAAGCAGCAGCATTTAGTTGAGTAAACTGTTCAAGGACAGCTCTTTAGAAAACTCTAGATGCAATGGCCTATGGACAGGATCAGAAATCATTGCTGCAGATGTTTTGACACCAATTAGATTGGTACAAGAAACACCAAATAAAAGGCAATCCCAGTGAGCTAATTAATGGAGAGGCCTGAGAGAAAAATAATCAGAAAATGGAAAATGGAAACGAGAAGTCTAGAGACACAAGGAGGTATAATGCATCATGACTGGTCACATGAAATGTCATTCCATATTTTGTATAAGGCTATTTCAGTGTTGAACTCTAATTAGGGAAAATAAAATAAGAAATTATGGGAGATATGCACATTTTGGAGGCAACAATGTGCTCAACAATGGAACAGGAAACGACATTGGAGATAAGACAGCAGTTTACAAGGATGTTGACAATGAGTTGGGGAATGATGACAACTGTTTGGAAAAAAAGGAATCCAGTATCTGAGAAGAATAACATTTACAAGGTCGCTCAGTGGTTAGCATTGCTGCGTCAAAACACCAGGGACCCAGGCTCATTCCCACCTTCAGGCAACTGTCTGTATGGAGTTTGCTTGTTCTCCCTGGGTCTACATGGGCTTCTTCTGGGTGCTCCGGTTTACTCACATAGTCCGAAGGTGTGCAGGCTAGGTGGATTGGCCATGCTAAATTGCCTGTAGTGTTCAGGGATGTGTAGATTAGGTGGGTTATGGGGGATGGGTCTGGGTGGGATGGTCAGTGTGGACTTTTTGGGCTGAAGGGCCTGTCCTCACACTGTAGAGATTCTATGAATCTAGCATTTGTGCCAGGAAGACAAATAGGGATGGGGGCAAAGAATCAAGCAATGGGTTACATAAATGAGATAATATGAACTGAAGAGGACATAAGGAAGATGAGAGAGAAATAAAAAAAGCAATGTGAAGCAAAAATAATTGAAAGGTTCTATACTGTTGTCATATTAGAATTGTTAGTATTCAATTTATTCCAGCATATGGATAAATATGACACGGTAGTGCTCATACAGAGCAGGTCACATTTCACTTATTGTGAGAGCAAAAATATCAAGATATCATGGCAAAATAATACTCGCTCCAATGTAGTAGGTTGATTTAACCCAGTAATCAATGTTTTTTTTATTCACTCACAGGCTGAGGGCGTTAGCATCACTGGCTAGGCCAGCATTTATTGCCCATCGTTGTGGGTCTGGAGTGACACATAGGCCAGACCAGGTAAGAGTGGCAGTTTCCGCCCCTAAAGGAAATTAGTGAATCAGACGAGTTTTTCTAAATATCAACAATGGTTTCATGGTCTTCATGACACTTTTGATTCCAGATTTTTATTGAATTCAAATTCCATCATCTTCTGCTGTAGGATTCAAACCCAGGTCCCCAGAATATTACCTGGGTACCTATATAACAGTCCAGTCATAATATCACTAAGCCATCGCCTCCCCTATTGGGATGTCAAAATGTTACGATCTTTTTGAAACATCTATAGTTTATTTTGTAATAAATACCTGTACCATGACTGACCACAAATATATCTGCATCTATAAAGGTGTTCTAAAAATGTGCAAACAAGCAAAATGAAGTACAGGCACCAAGTCCCGTGGCGGACTGGAGCGAGCGGGCCGAGTTCCACGGCGGACCCGAGCAGGCACGGGTGAGTCCCTCGGCAACGGAAGAGAGCACGGGCCGAGTCGTGTGGCTACAGAAGAGAGCACGGGCCGAGTCCCATGGCAGACTGGAGGGAGCAGGCGCGGGTGAATCCTGCGGCAACGGAAGAGAGCGCAGGCCGAGTCCCGTGGCAGAACCAGCACGGGCAGCGTGGCCTTGTGCTCTGGGGCCTGCAGACATGCTCAGTGAGCCCCAGAACACCGGGAGCTGCGAGCTTGCAGCAGCGTGGGGAAGAAGTCTCGCAGCAGCACACGGGATGCAGTCCCGGATCAGCGTACAGGCAATAAGTCCTGGATGGAAACCAGTGTGAGGGAACAATCATTACCTTAGAATACTGTAATGTTAACCCCTTAACATTTTCCTATTTTTAACTTATTTTCAACTCTGTAATTAAGCAACTACTTCTATTCCTCCAATGTATCCAAGAATTGTACCTAGGTACTTATACCCAAGACGTTGCCATAAGAAGGCAGACATTGTAAAAGATTTTCACTGTACTCCTACAATAGAGTACACATGACAATAAAAGGATATTGTATTGAGTTGTAAATTGTACACCTATTCATTTAGAAATTCAGCACATTGCAAGTACCTACATGCATTATCATTACACAGTTTTAAGAATAAATTGGAACACCTGCCTCCAGAGTAGACATTAACTTACAAACTTAAAACAGATCCTGATTAATGAGTCTCATTCATATTGAACAAGTAAGACAAATTCCAAACAAGGTTGAATTGAAGTTTGTTTTCTAGACTCTAAATATAGAAATAACGATTTGCAGCTTCACTTTTTTTTAAACAGTTCCTTTTTTTATATTGCTTTCACTTTAATGTGAAATTTTCCTTTGGGTCAAGTTTATTTTTCAACCATGGTTTGATTTATGGTCAGCATTTTACAGTAGGATGGTTGTGGTGTCAGAATTGCAAGATATGTGACTTCCAATAGCCACAAACTAGTCTTGGAAAATTATGGAACAAAATGTCCAGACTTGAATGAAAACTAAAATCAAAAAACAATTACACCTAAATTATATATTAAAATCTTGCAGCTATGCACAGTTCATCTCTGCAAGGCTTTATTTACTACATGCTATATGTTTGCATCAGATTATTTTCCCCATGAGGACATTCACCATGCCAAAATATCAGGCTGTGACTTCTGACTCAGTGTTGGGAATATCACAGAAGATCAACTAGTGATTATAGAATAATCCAAAGATTACTTATTTGTCTTCCACAGAGTTTGATCGAAGTGCTATATTCAGCTTATCACAAAATTCTTTATTTACAACTTGAGTGCAGAAACAGAGGGTCTCTAGTGCCTCTGAACTACATCAATGCTATTCTCTAATCTTGGGTAAACAAATGAGGAAAACCAGGTGTAAAGAACCTTGGTTGTAGCCATTAATGATTATTTATAATTTTTATAACTTGTCACAATAATGTGATTAAACAAAGTCATATAACAAAGGTGAAAAGATAAAACTGACAATAATACTGGCCCTGAAAGTTGAAGGATTTATTTCAGCACCGTTCCACAACTTAAATTAGATACTACAGTTAATACATAAATGTATATACTATAAACAGTAATAGATAATACTCTCATTACACATTCACGTGTTCAATTTTAGACTGTTACCTCTTCCCAAGTAATTGATCTGTACAGAGCAGTTCACAAATCTAAAATGAATATAACCAGCTTTCATAAGTAAGTAATTGACTTTAAAAATATCAGCAAGAATTAACAGCATAATTATATTTACCAAATACACTTGGAGATAATGCTTCAAGTTTGTTACCAAACAAGTGGAGCTTCCTTAATTGTCTTAGATGTTTCAGAACTTCTGGAAGTGCTTCGAAGGAATTATTTCCCAAGTTGAGTTCTGTCAACTACAAAACAGTTCAAAAGATTTCTATTTACAGTACTTGAAGCGTTTCATGTTTATACAAAAGCTGCTGCACTAAATTAGGAATGTCCAAATTGTTTAGTTCGTAATCATAGATGGCTTATATATGTAGACTTGTAGTCTGCATATAGAGTTTAGATGGAAAAATAAGAAAGAAAAACTATAAATGTTGGAAGTCTGAACCCAAACAATGTTCAGAACAAATAGCATCTCAGACAGTTATAAAATTTAAATCTGCATTCTGTTATTTTGTAGGTATCTCTAGTTGGAGTACACCAGAGTATAGTATTCTGACTTAGTAATGATCCACCGAAGGTCAACAGAATAATGTGCTGTTTCAAACACTTCAAGAATGGGAAAGAAACAAAACAGGGAATAAGAAATAAGTGCAAATAAGATTGAGAACTCTAAACTTATAGAAGACGATTGCAGGGCCTACAATGATGGACTCTCTAATTTGGACACAATAGCTAACAACAGTTTAAACTCACTTACTTTTATCACTGAGAGCACTATTGTGCAACCAAAAGAAAGATGTAATCAGATAGTCAAGGATGTAGATTTTAAATGGGCAAACGGATTTAGGTAAGGTCATACACAACATAGGCTTTAGGTGGCTGAAGATGCCGCCACCAATGGTGGACCAATAGAAGGGTAGGGCAACACAAGAGATCAATGCCTGAGCAAAGGAGATTTTGGCTGCAGAGGGTTACATAAGTAATAAGACCACAAAAGGATTTAAACATGAGAATTTATAATTTGAGGCTAAGGGAGACCTGGAGCCAACGTGAGGTCAAGGGATAACGCGAGGATGTGATTTACTACAAAACAGGATACAAGCAGCAGAGTTTTCAATGAACAGAAATTGACAGAAGATACAGAATGGGCAGCTTGACAGGGCAGGATTGAAATAGAAATGCCAAAAACTGCAGGGCAGATAGATTGAGGTTGGGAAGGGGTGCAATGTTATGGAGCTGGAATTAGGCTTCTTTGTGAGAAAGAGGGTTTGTGAGTGGAAGTTCAACATAGGTTCAGTCAGAAGCAGAAGCTGCAGTCTATTTTTACCTGAGTGGCCAGTGTAGAAAATGGAATAATTATTACAGCTAAAATAGTTTGTGATACCAACCAAGTAATAACTTTGCTATTCTTAAAAGTCTAGCTTCAGTAAATTACACATTTGAAAAAATACAAGCAGCCTACCAGCAGGAGGTAGGTGTTAAGTGGTGTTAGTTAGATAAGGTTAGCAGTGGGATTTAGAGTGAGGCATTAGGATGGGATTTCATAGAAAGGCCAGCATAAGGACAGTTTTTAAGGAATCAGGAAGAGAAGTTAGTGTACTAGGTTGCCTGTGGTGTACATGATTAGCATTGTTCAAAAGAAAATATGCATTTATATAGTATGAACACAAGCTATCTCAATGTACTTCACATTCAATGAAGTAATTTTGAAATTTAGCTATTGTAATGAAGGATATGCATCGTCCAATTTGAGAACTGAGCACAAGCTCCCACAAACGTGAATGAGCAGTTAACAAGGTGCAGAACTGGATGAACACAGCAGGCCAAGCAGCATCATAGGAGCAAAAAGGTTGACGTTTCGGGCCGAGACCCTTCATCTGCACCTTGTTGTCTCGGATTCTCCAGCATCTGCAGTTCTTACTATCTCTAATGAGCAGTTAACCTGTTTTCTGATGTTAATTGAGGAATAAACATTGGCCAGTAGTTTGGCAGTAACTCTCTGACTTTTCTTCAAGATTGTGCTATCAGATCTTTTAAATCTATAAGGGATTACATAGGGCCTCATACAAGGCAGTGCTAACACCCCCGCAGCAACTCGGGCCTATACAGGGCTGAGGAGGGTTTGAAAGTGGGGTTGGATTCGGAATGCGTGTGTTATGAGGATAGGAGTTGGGATGTGAACAAGGATGGGGGTTGCAGTCGGGTGTGCCAGGGTGGGGGGGGGAAAGAGAGTCGGGTTGGGAGAGAGGGGCTGGTGAATTGTCCGGGGAGGGGGTTCGCCTCCACGCCCCTTACATTGCTGAGCGCCTGTAACTCCACGGGCAGGTCGCTGATCAGGTTATTTTTCAGCTGGAGGCGATTCAGTTCGAATAACCTCCCCACCGCCTTGGGGACCCGCCTCAGTTTCTTTCCGCTCAGGTCCAGGTGCCTCGCATTTCCCCGGAGGGCCCGCAGCACCAACGCATCCGCCATCTTCCCGCACCGCGTCCCGTCTCCAGGGAAACACTGCCAATGCGCATGTGCAGTGGCCTCGAGCGCCCTCTAACGACAAGCCAATTGAACCAGCCAGGTCCAGCCTCACCTTGTCGCCAGGTCTGTCTCAGCCACTTCTCAGTGCACTCCAAACCTCCAATTCAAACTGATCCAAGGAAATGCTGGCAATTTGACACAACAGGGTCTCATCGATTGGTACAGTAGCTCCGAAACAATTTATGGGATAAATTTTAAAAGGATAGCAACACGGTTACGTACAAACTAATAATGAAAGATTCTTGTGGCAATGTCCCTGCGTTTTGGAAGTGGGGAGATAATCTCAAAGTCTAACTAGGTTTCATGAGAATAAGGGTCATATCGGTAATCAGCTACTAAAGAAAGCAGAAAGTTGGACCTGAGATAACAAGGTGTAGAGCTGGATGAACACAGCAGGCCAAGCAGCATCAGAGGAGCAGGAAAGCTGACGTTTCCGGCCTAGACCCTTCTTCAG